AAACAATTAACAGATCTTTGATATGTTGATTAAAATCAAATTTTTACTTCGGTATAGTCTATGTTGATTTTTTTCTTTTTGAAGAGATCTATGTTAATTGTTATTGTTGACTGTTACTGTCAAAATTATTAAGGTAAACATTAATTAAAAATAACATAATATTTTTTTTTATAGATATAACTCATACAATGTCTTAAAATTAATAATTAGAGATATTTTTTAAGTTTAATTAATTATTCACACATTTGTAAAAAAAATGATTATTTATACATTACTCTAATGTCCGAAAAACTTCATTCTCTTCTCTTTTCTACGTGTTTATTGTCCACTAATAATATTATTAGGATAAATCCTTTTCAATTAAATCCTATTATTTTAAAAGGTTTAATTTGATTATTTAATTTTAAAATATATTTAATATTGTTCTTTTGTCTAAATTAACACTAATGATGCTAATAAAATTAGATGAAATGACAATATTGAATATTTTTTAAAAAAATTAGAGGTTTGAATTGAACATTTAAAAAGTAATAGGATTAAATTGAACATTTTTAAATAGTAAGACTAAATTGAATAAAAATTTATGTAATATTTTTTTGTCTAGATAAATTTGATTTTGTTTACTTATCTTAACAATATCATGAATGACAACAAATCGGGTACTTGAAATTAAAAAAAATAATCACAAAATAAATTAATTATCTAATAAAATAAATTATTTAATATATAAAATAAAATTCAAATTTATCAAGACAAAAAATATTAGATAAATTTTTGTTCAATTCAATGTCTGTATTTTTGGAATGTTCAATCTAGTCCCATTGTTTTTAAATGATGTTTAATGTTTGTCCTTCTGTCTGATTTTATTAATGTTATTAATGTCAATTTGAATAGAAAGATAATATTGCATTTTTTTTTCAAATTAGAAAATCAAATTGAATCATTTAAAAATAATGGGAGTAAATTAAATTTTAAAATAAATAAAGGGACAAAAAGTACAATTTAATATTATTATTATTATTATTATTGTTGTTGTTGTTGTTGTTCTAACACCGTTAATTTTATGATGTTTTAATTTAATTGCATGAGTGTTGTTGTCTAGTTGGGAATTATTGTTAGTAGTACTATTTAAGAACTCTGGAGTGAAGGAGCTTTGAGGATTAAGTTACTCTTTGGGGGTAGTTGAACTAGAAACAAGTTGGGTTAGCTCAAGAAGGGTATATAAAGATTTTATAAAGACGTGACCCTCATAAACTTATGTTTTGAGAAAACTCCAAAGAGAAATAGAGAGAATTTTCTCTGGTGAGTGAACCTTCTCTCCCCATTTTTGTATTAAACCCTTTCTTCCCTCATCCTTGTAGTTAATCTAGACTTGTAATAATAGCGAGATTCAAAGTCTAGGAGCTTAGAATCTCATGTGTCAAAAGTCATATGGAGCTCACTTCCTCATTCTTCTTTTCTCCTCTTGTTGATTCGGTTCTCTAAGAGGTAAATGAAGCTTTGTGATTGAATTTCTATTAGTGCATGATGATTATTGTTGCTTATAATTTCTAGATTCATTGTTGTTACTACAAGAAAATTGTTATATATATAATAACACACGCCTTATAGTGACATAATAAATGTCAATTAAAGGTACTTTTACCCATACACTAAATACAGTATATGTTGATATATTGTTAAAAAATGTTGATATAGGTTATAGTGACATACAAAATATATTGTTAAATTATATTCAAAGTTAATACTTAAATTATGTGTAGCTATATGTCAAATAGATATATATCTACATAAATTATACCTCTAGTGATATTTTTTGTATGTTACTATATGTAACATTTTTGGTAGAGAGTTATGATTTGAATCCATGGGTTGATGATTATGAAGTTGTGGTGTTCTTGAAGTTTTGTATGAGAGGAATATTATGCTTCTTGCAAATTGATGGATGCATGTTCTTTTTACTGATAGATTTGTGTTGTATATGTTGTCTAAATGTTTTATGTTGCAATGCATGTTCTTGGGTTTAAGGATTTCAAGAGGATCGACTCAGAATTGGCTTTTGCATAGGTGTAGAATTAATATCGTGTCGGGCAAGCATTCAAGATGTCATGCATGGCTTCAACTAGTGGTTTTATCTTACCCACACAAGCGGGTGATTGGTGGTGCCGAGCGTAAGGAGAAAAAATCTTCTTAGATTAAAATCATGTCAAGCGCAAACTGAATGATGCTGAATGTGAGAAAAGTGAATCATCTTGGGTTAAAATCACGTCGGGCGTGAGTTGTGTGGAATAAATCCCTGCTCATTGGGCTAGGCATGGGCTTTGGTCACACTAGTCGACGCAAGAGAGTGGAAGGCATGGATAGTTTGGCATTAGATATAGGTGAGATAGGGAGTCCTCTACTTTAATGACACTGGTGTCCTATGAATGGCATTGGGCACGAGATGCATGATCAAAAACTTATGTTAAATTGTTTTATAGTTGAATGATGTATGATGATAAATCCATATGTTGCAAGTTGATTTCATATATGACAATATTCATGTCAATTAAGTTGTAAGTTGATTAATGAATAAGTTATATAAATTGTGAGATGTTGTAGTTGAATAAGTTGTGAAGGTGTATGATGTTTAATTTGCTCAAGATGTTAAGTTGTTAAGGTGTTGGACATGTTGTAGAGATACATGTCTTTGCTAAAGATACATAAAAACTATAGGAGAGTAAGTGTTATTTTCAAAGTTAAATTATCACATTGTGTAAATATATATTGCGGTGCTCCGAAAGAATAGTTGAAACCCTTCAATAAATAAGGCGAGTTTTGAATGGATAGATTTTTTAAGTTGTCTCCTCTAGATTTTATGTGATATGTGGGTAACATCGAAACATACGTATATAAAGTGACCAATTGAGTAAAATACAAGTTCAAGGACTTAGTCCTTAATCAAGTATTAGAGGGACGTAGTACTTGAAGGGTAGTCTGTGGATTAATCCCATAGATGCCTTAATGTTGCAAGTTAATGTTGTGGTTAACTCATTCAAGTTGTTCTACCCTGATGGTAGCACTAAACTTCCTAGTTTAAGTGACAAAACCTGAAAAATCAAATTAAGTTATTAGCTGACTTGGTTGAAATAGGTCACATGTGATTTAGTAGGGTCTAACTATTTAACTGTTCACTTTCGTTGTAGGAGATCTCCATATAGTTGATATGTGTAATGACGCTTTAGTTGTTTAGAGTTGTTTTACGTGATGTGGTGTGTATGTTGTAAGTTGTTATGATGCTATGAACTATATGTTGTATGTGTTGCAAATAAAATGTGTTATGCATTGCTTTCTTAAATGAATGTATGTATGTTGTGATGTTGCAAGTTGTTTAGATGTTGATTCTTTTCATAAGCTAATCCTGTGTTTTTCTTATAGTTGGAACTATGATGATCATACTTAATGTGAGAGTAAGTCAAGATTAACGGAATTTACTTAGATGTTTTGGCGGTGAGTCTTGCTAGTGATAACTCATTTTGTTGAGGTTACCCTGAAGTAACTAGGTTGTGTATAGAAGCTCGATTAGTGAGTAAGACTTATTTTGCATACATTTATGTATTTGATATAGTTGTATACGTATTTGTACAGAGAATGCACTATAACCTTTGAGGATTTTATTTCTAGTTGTTTATTTTTTATCCTATACAAGTATAACTTACATGACTACTTATATAACTATTGCATAATAACTCTTGATTAATTGTTGTTTACTCTATTTTGTTGCATAGTAGCTAAACTGTAATAAATGTTGTAATTAACCTGTTAGATGGTTACAATAATAATAATAATAATTATTATTATATAAAATAAAATTCAACATTTTAAGCAATTTAAAGAATTTAATAGTGGACATATAAAAAAAACATTAATTATTATGATACTCAGAATATAGATACGGTTTTGCTAAGTATCTCAAGAAATTAGAAGTAAAAAGATTTTTTTTAACAAGTATATCATGTAATGTTAGACACATTTCAACCATAATTTTTAATAACATATTATAATATTTATTACTTTCTTAACTATGCACCATACACTATACACTACAGTTTACAAAATCAATATAGTTAAAATAAGATATCGTAATTAACGGTACATCAGAATAAAGGTACTTTTCTTGCCATAAAATTTTCAAATGACGGATTTATAATGTTTTTGGATTAATTTATTTTATATAGAATATTTTATAAAAATTTCTCTTTTTGAATTTTGTAACTGATTCTTTCAAAACAGTTTTTATAATTAATTCTTTCAGAAACTTATAAAAAATTATTTATAAAAAATAACTGTACCGGGAGGACCCTATCGGTCACGTTGACCAACACGTGCCGTTCCGTCAGACACCCATGCGAACTGGACCATACCCAAGGCTGACGTTAGCATCGGCTCGGCTTATAGCCGAAGGCCGAGATTTGTCAACTGGCGCATAACGGCTCGGCTGAAGGCCGATGCAAGCAGCATGATGTATTCCCGCATACTATGTATCGGCTCGGCCCAATGCCGATCCGATAGGATTACCAAGTAAACGTCTACCGGCATTAGCCTGTCGGCTCGGCAATGTGCCGATAGGTTAAACAGGTTATAGTACAAATCACAGTTAACAAGGATAAGTGCATAATTAAGACATGATTAGCTGATTAGCATCGTATTACCTAATTTGGTAAAGATTAGAACAGGCCCATCACGTTCAGGCCCATGTCAGGTATTATAAATAGGTCACACGTAACGAGGTACGTCACTGTTCATTAATTACCCTAGAATATCGTGCATATCCTAACTTGAGCTTCGGAGTATCTTTTGCAAGTACCTCCCCTCTCTGAAGAGTTCGTTTAAAGCATCCGTTCGACCCTTCTCACTAAGAAGACTACGAGTGTACCCTCAGGCAGGTACATTTTGGCGCCCACCGTGGGGCCGAACCGAAAGCATTGTAGAAACATTGAAAGTTTACGAGTAAAAGAATCATGGTAAAGACAAGGAATACTAATTTTGAAGGGCAACAGTCCGAAGAGGAGCACCAGTCCGGGGCCGAGACGGTTGAGGAGACAAACTTGACCGATATGGTACGCCAGATGAAGGAAGAGATGATCGCCATGAAACAGCAGCGAGAGAGAGATGCCGCCGAGATGGCCGCATTGAGAGAAGAGAATGCTGCTTTAAAAAATAAATACCGAGACCCCACATGGAAACCATCTGAGACGACCCACACTCAGGGATCGTTCCACTCGCACGGCCATCATACCTCCATTCCTCACACTTCTGTCGCTACCCCAGGCATTCATGTTTTGTTCGGCCGGCCAATGCCGCCAATGCCGGCTGGCGCCCACCGACATCCATTTACGCCAAATATTATGCAATCTGCACTTCTTGACCATTGGAAGTCCTTGCCCCTTGACAAGTACGATGGCACCACCGACCCCGATGAACACGTAGATGTGTTCTTAACTCAAGTTACCCTGAGCACAACCGATGATGCCGCCTTGTGCCGAATCTTCCCAACATCGTTAAAAGGGCGAGCGCTGAGCTGGTTTACTCGGCTTCCAGCTAACTCGATTGACTCGTTCAGCACGTTAGCTTCCCAGTTCACCATCCAATTCACTACAAGTCGGCCTCACCAGTTGACCTCGTTGGCGCTGGTCAGCATCTGTCAGGAGAAAAAGGAGTCCCTTCGGGCGTTCATAAGCCGATTCAACAAAGCGGCGCTTGAAATCCGAGACTTAAACCCTGCAGTGGCTCTGCATCACCTTACCACCGCCTTGAAACCGGGGCCTTTTGCCAACAGCATTTGTAAAAAAACCCCTACCGACATGGATGACTTCGTCAGCGAGCCGACAAATACATGCAGATGGAAGAACTAGCCGAGTTCCGTAACCAGGCCCGAGCGGAGGTGTCGGCAAAGCCTAAAAAGCCGGCTGAAAACAATTTTCGAAGCCGTCCGAAAGAACTGGTACCCCGCGAGAGGCCCCCTCGTGGCCCGAAGTATTCCCATTATACACCACTCAACACCAGCAGGTCGGCAATACTAGAACAAGCACTCACTTCGGAAGTACTAGCCATCCCAAAACGAGCGTCGACCCCTCCCCAGGCCGATACGACCAAGTCTTGCAGGTATCATCGCAATCGCGGGCATTCAACTGACGAATGTTCGGCCCTGAAAGATAAGATTGAAGACTTGATCAAGCAAGGACAGTTGCAAGGCTTCGTGGACCGACCGAACTCTTCGAAATACTCCGACCGGTCGCGACGACATGATCAGCCCAAACAAAGAAGGACAGAAGCACGTTCGTACAGAGAACGCAGTCGGTCAAGAGATCGAAGAGAGGAAGAGCCTTCGGCACAGCCTCGGCGAGTCATCAACACGATAGCAGGAGGATTCGCTGGCGGAGGTTCATCCTCATCAGCCCAACGCAGACACTTACGAGCTGTTCGGCACGTGAATACAGTGGAGACAGTTCGTCGTCACCTTCCCACCATCACTTTCACCGAGGATGACTTCAAAGGCATCGACCCAGACCAAGATGATCCGATGGTAATCAGCATCGAAATTCATAACTGCATTGTACGAAATACGTTGGTTGATCAGGGAAGTTCGGCCGACATTCTTTATTGGAACACGTTTAAACAGCTGGGTATCCTGGAGTCTGAACTAGTTCCTTATGATGAACCTTTGGTCGGGTTCTCTGGTGAACGAGTCAAGACAAAAGGGTATATCAAGTTGTCAACTCGGTTCGGGTTCGAAGGAACTGAGTACCGAGACATTTCGGTTAAGTATGTGGTGGTGCACGCAAGCACATCTTATAACATTCTGCTCGGCCGACCATCCCTGAATCATCTCAGCGCAATCATCTCCACCCCTCATTTAGCCATGAAGTTTCCGGCCGAATCAGGGCGAATAGTCACTGTCCGTGCTGACCAAAAAACTGCGCGAGAATGTTATTTTACCAGCTTGCGATTACCAAAAATGAAGAACGAAGCAACGAATGAACCGAGAAGGGTGCACTCGGTATCACAGCAATCGGCCATGGACCTCGATCCTCGGATCGATCAAGATGAGATGGTTGTGCCCATCTAAGATAAACAACCATTCCAGGTTGGAGTGTCCGAGTTCCAAGTCACTCACTTAGGAGCTAATTTGTCTGAAGAAGAACAGTTGACTATTAAACAAGTAGTCCTCGAAAACAATGACTTGTTTGCTTGGCACCTGTCTGACATGCCCGGCATTGATCCCAATTTCCTTTGTCACAAACTCTCCATCAGCAAAGAGGCTAAGCCAATTGCTCAGCGGCGTCGAAAGACCAGGGAAGAAAGAAAAGCTGCAATTGAAGTAGAAGTGAGCAAGTTGTTAGACGCTCGGTTTATCCGAGAAGTGCACTACACGACCTGGTTGGCCAACGTCGTCATGGTCAGAAAACCGAATGGAAAGTGGCGCATGTGCACCGATTACACTAACTTGAATAAAGCCTGTCCCAAGGACGCCTACCCGCTACCAAACATCGATCGGCTCGTCGATGGGGCATCCGACCACAAATTTTTGTCTTTCCTGGATGCATACTCTGGATACAATCAGATCCGGATGCACCCCCAAGATGAAGAAAAAACTGTCTTCATCACCGAAACGGCCAACTACTGTTACCGTGTGATGTCGTTTGGCTTAAAGAATGCTGGTGCTACCTATCAGCGTTTGATGAACAAAATCTTTCACGATTAGATTGGCCAGAGCATGGAGGTGTATGTGAATGATATGGTAGTAAAGTCGGGTGATGTGTCGGCGCATGCACGCGACTTGACCGAGGTATTCCAGGCGCTTCGGCGACACCAAATGAAACTTAACCCCAAGAAATGCGTATTAGGAGTCTCGGGAGGCAAGTTTTTGGGGTTTATGTTGTCCAACCGGGGCATTGAGGCAAACCCAGACAAATGCCAGGCCATCCTGGACATGAAAAGCCCAGCCACATTAAAGGAGGTTCAGAAGTTAGCCGGACGGCTTACCTCGCTGTCCCGATTTCTCCCTTAGTTAGCCGAGAAGCTAAGCCGATTCTACTTTTGCTCAAGAAAATGGAACGATTCAAGTGGACCCAGGAGTGTGAAGAATCTTTTCAGCAGTTTAAAAAACGGCTTTGTACGCCTCCAATTTTTTCTAAACCGGTCAGTGGCCTAGCTATGCTTGTTTACCTGTCAGTTTCGAGTAGTGCAGTCAGTGCCGTCATAATACAAGAAAACCAGGAAGGTCAACAACCCATCTATTTTATCAGCCGGACGCTGCAAGATGCCGAGCGACGTTATCAACTGTTAGAAAAAGTTGCCTTAGGGCTCATCTATACCGCTTGGCGATTGAGGCAATACTTTCAAAGCCATAAGATCGTAGTCAGAACTGACTGTCCGGTTGCAAAGGTCCTCCGGAAACCAGAAATCGCCGGCCGGATGATGGCATGGTCAGTTGAGCTTTCAGAATTTGACATATCTTTCGAGCCAAGAGGGCCGATCAAGTCGCAACATCTGGCCGATTTTGTTAACGAGCTCACTCCTCCGGGATGTTTTGAGGACGAACCTTGGACCATGCATGTTGATGGATCCTCTAATTCCCAAGGTAGCGGGGCTGGCATAATTCTGGCTAGCCCTTCAGGAATCACAGTTGAACAATCCCTTCGGTTCGGCTTCCGTGCATCAAACAATCAGGCCGAATACGAAGCCTTGATAGTAGGAATGAGACTAGCAACTAAAATGAACGTCACAAAAATCATATGCTGGACCGATTCGAAGATCGTGGCTGAACAAGTCAATGACAACTTCCAAGTCAAGGACTCCAATCTGCTGCAATATTACCACCTCTTCCAGAAGCTCAAGGACGACTTCACCGAGGTGCAGGTTTGCCACGTATTGCGCGCCAACAATGAACGAGCCGATCAGCTAGCTCGGCTCGCCAGTAGCCGGAAACCAGGACAGTTGCGAACAACCATTCACCTTGAGATTCTCTCTCCAAGTGTGACGGTTGAGTGTATGTCAGCCGGTACCGAGATGCCGACCTGGATGACCGCCATTCGGAACCTTATCGACCGAGGGGAGTTACCAGCCGACCCGATGGAGGCAAAAAAGATACGAACACAAGCGGCTCGGTACTCCATGATCTCCAATGAGCTCTATAGGCGAGGATTCTCCACCCCGCTCCTCAAATGTATCGACACTCACCAAGCCGACTATGTAATAAGGGAAATACACGAAGGTATCTGTGGCTCCCACTCAGGTGGAAGAACTTTCGCAGCCAAAGTCTTGCGTGCCGGCTACTATTGGCCAACTTTGAAAGGAGATTGCGCCGAGTTTGTCAAGAAGTGCGTACAATGTCAAAAGCATGGAAACATCATACACGCTTCGGCCACAGAGTTGCACAGTATCAAATCCCCATGGCCGTTTGCTTTATGGGGTATAGACGTGGTGGGACCATTCCCTGTGGCAAAGGGGCAAGTTAAATTCCTTCTCGTTGCAGTGGATTACTTTACAAAATGGATAGAAGCTGACCCGCTGGCCTGCATCTCCGCTGCTAATGTTCAGAAGTTTGTTTGGAAAAATTTGGTTACACGCTTCGACATCCCGTACGCCATTGTTTCAGACAATGGTCTCCAATTCACCGACAAAAAGTTCAACATTTTCCTCGAAAACCTTGGCATTCGGCATCAGTTCACCTCAGTCGAGCATCCACAGTCAAACGGGCAAGCCGAAGCAGCCAACAAGGTTATACTCGCTGAGCTCAAAAAGAGACTCGGCTCGGCCAAAGGAGCATGGGCCGAAGAGTTACCGGAAGTCCTTTGGGCATACCGCTGCACACCACAGTCAACCACCAAAGAGACGCCTTTTCGCCTAACGTACGGCGCGGACGCGATGATCCCGGTTGAAGTGGGAGAACCGTCCTTTAGACGACAGCATTTCCATGAAGACTCTAATGACAGCTCACTCCAGGCCGAACTCGATGTTCTCGATGAACTACGAGAGAAGACACAGGTAGTGGCGGAAGCATGCAAACAACGCATGACCCGTCGCTTTAATTCCAACTTAAAGCCAAGGACATTCCATGAAGGTGATCTCGTATGGAGAGCAACCGGTTCGGCGAGGCGCAACTCTTCTGA